ATTTCTTTTATAGTTGCATTTATTAAAACTTTCTTTTTTTATTTTTTTCATTTCACCAGATTGTCTGCAGCAAAGCTGCTTCTTCCTTGCATGCGCAAAAAGACCCAAAAGTTTCAATCCAAGAGTCGCAGCAGGGCGCTCGCTCGCTAGCTAACGGGGCAGCCAGCTGGCTAGCTAGCTAGCTAGCTAGCTAGCTAGCCAGCTATCCAGCTAGCTAGCTAGCTAGCTGCCCAGTTAGATAGCTAGCTAGCTGCCCACTTAGCTGTTTAGCCAGCTAGCTACGTACCTAGTTAGCTAGCTACCCAGCTAGCTAGACAGCCCAGGAGCTAGCTAGCTAGCCAGCTAGCCAGCTAGCTAGGTGACTAGCGGGCTGGCTAGATAGCCAGTTAGCTAGCTAACTAGCTAGCTAACTAACTAGCTCACAAACAAGCTGGCCAGCTGGGTAGCTAGCTGGCTAGCTGGGCAGCTAGCCATCCTAGTGGCAGGGCGCTAGCTGGCGAACAGCTCGCCCGCCAGCCAGCTAGCCAGCTAGCCAGCTAGCCAGCTAGCCAGACAACTAGCTGGCTAGCTAGCTAGCTAGCTAGTTGACTAGCTAGCCACGCAAGGGCCTTCTGGCGAGCTGGTACAGCTATTGTTTGAGTGGGGGTTGGAGTTTGCTGCTGGAGCTGCTGCTGGGTTTTGTGTCTTGTATCTTTTTGTTTTGCTGCTGCAGTTTGTGTCTCCTTTTAGTTTTGCTGCTGCTGCTTGTGTCTCTTTCGCTTTCCCTCGCGAGTCTCCTTTCTGCCCGCTGCTGCATGCATGCAAAGGTGAAGGGCCTGGGGGTTGTGGTTTGCTGCTGCTGCAGCAGCAGTTTGCTGCGCTGCAGCATGGCCCTGCGGTGCAGCAGCGGGAAGTTGGGGGGGTCTCTCGCGTAGAAGTGTCTCCTGCTGATTGCAAATCTGTCTCTTTTTGCTGCAGCAGCAGCAGCAGCTGCTGCTGCTGCTGCTGCTGCTGCTGCTTCAGAGGCACTAGCCCCTGCTGCAGCAGCAGCTAGCAGCTTGCTGTCGATCTCCCGCTGCTTCCCTGGAATGTAAGGACGGGCCCTCACGGGGGGATCGATCGATCCCACGGCATTCCCTTCACTGCAGCAGTAGCAGCAGCAGCAGCAGCAGCAGCAGCAGCAGCAGCAGCAGCAGTTGCAAGCGCGGCGAGGTGCTAGAAAGGGACGGGGATCTTTTGCTTTTGTGGGGTGCTTTGTCAAAGCGCAGAGCAGACAGGTAGCAGGCCTGGGCAGGGTTTAGGGTTTAAGGTTTAGGGCCTAGGGTTTAGGGTTTTGGGTTTAGGGGCCTCACGTCAGCGGCAGCACCTTTCTTGCTGCAGTGTACGCACAGCCCACCGCAGTTGGCTGTGGGGCCTTCGCCTCTGTCTCTGTGCTGCAGCTCGTGTCTTGAGTCTCCCTAAATTATCCAGCAACAGCAGCAGCAGCAGCAGCAGCAGCAGCAGCAGCAGCAGATAGTGGCAGAAATGGAGCAGCGCTCAACGGGGGACCGACAAAAGCGGCAACGGGGATAGCAGCAGAAGCAGCAGCAGCAGCAAAAGCAGCAAACGCAGCAGAAAAGGTTGCAGCAAGAGCAGCAGCAAACGCAGCAGCACCAGCAGCAACAGCAGCAGCAGCAGCAGCAGCAGCACGGGTTCGGCGACCAGGGGCTTGCTCTTCCCGCCCTCGGGTCGCTACTTAGCGTCCGATCTTCAAACCCTTGATTGTAAACCCTAATACCCAAGCGCTAAACCGTAAACCCTAAACCCTAAACCCTAAGCGCTAAACTCAAAGGCGCCTCACTCTTCAACTTGGGGTTTGTAAAGCTGCAGGCGTTTAGGCAGAGCGCTTTGCTGCAGCAGCAACAAACTTCTGGCTTTCATCGTTTGCTGCCGCTTCTTCTCTGAGCCGCAGACCCTAAACCCTAAACCCTAAACCCTAAACCCTGAACCCGGCCTCTGCAGCTGAAGATGCCACAGGCCACAATCCACCGAACCCAGGCACCAACCGTAAACCCTATACCCTAAGTCTAGACCCCTAACGTCGAGCACTAAACCCTAAACCCTAAACCCTAAACCCTAAACCCTAAACCCTTGCCTTGCCTTTCAAGGCACAGAGCTGCGTGTAGGCGGGGGCGGTCACCACCCAGGGGACATCTGTTGTCCTATAAGGCGCAGCAGCAGCAGCAGCAGCAACAGCAGCAGGAGCAGCAGCGGCCGTGCTGCCTTCTCCAGCTCCCCACGCTGTACCATACCGTCTACCTCTACTCTGCTGCTGCTGCTGCTGCTGCTGCTGCTGCGGCTTGGCGCCAGCCCTGCTGAAGCCTCCCCCGTGCGTTGCCCAGGGCAGCAGTTGAATTGTCTCTTTAATTTTATTTTCTTTTTTTTCTTTTTGTTTTAATTGTCTCCTTTCTGCAGCACTGCAGCCGCTGCGGCTTGAAAGCAGAAACCCAGGGGTCTCTGCGCAGCAGCAGCACCAAGTGCAGCAGCAGCAGCTGCTGCAGCAGCTGCTGCTGCTGCTCCCTCCGCTGCTCCTGCTGACCCGGTCCCTAAACATGGAGACGCAAGCGACAGGGCCCCCCAACGTCTCCTGGGGGCCCCCAGGGGGGCCCCACGGGGCCCCCAGGGGGCCCCCAGGGGCCCCTCGGGGGGCCCCCAGGGGGGCCCCTAGGGGGCCCCCGCAGAGGCACTGAGCAGCAAAAGGGGGGCCCCAGCTAGCTGGCTTCCAGCAAGCTTCCCAGTAGGAGAGCCTGTCTGGCTCTTCTTTCATTTGTGCGGGGTGGAAGTTCACTCCAAATCAGGGTTTAGGGTTTAGGGTTTAGGGTCTGGCCTTCAAGGCTGAACGCCCCACTGGAGGAGGGAAAACTGTGACAGCTGCAGCGGAAAGAAGGGGAGCTGCAGCAGAAAAGCCAGCAGCAGCAGCAGCAGCAGCAGCAGCAGGAACCTGCCGTGGGATCGACCGATCCCCGAAGGTGACCCCGAGGGGATCCCCAACCTTCTTCTTCTCCCGTCTTCTTTCTTTAAGTGAAATAAATTAAATTAAGTGAATCATTTTGTCTCTATTTAATTAACTAGACCCAGCAATCTAAAGAGCCACGCTGCAGCAGCAGCAGCAGCAGCGAAGAAACGAGATACAGGGGCCCCCGGGGGCCCCCAGGGGCCCCCCGGCGGCCCGTGGGGCCCGGGGGGGCCCCACTGGAAATGGGCGTATGTGGGGTTGATCTATTGAAATAAATAAATAAATAAATAAATAATAAAATAAATTAAAAACTCAAAATCTGAAAAAGGTAATTTAGCTTTTAGTTGGGACTGCAGCAGGAGCTGCTGCTGCTGCCTCTGCTGCAGTTTATATATTTATTTGTTTTTATTTTTTGTTTATTTGTTTATTTGTTTGAACTAATTTATTAATTCATTTATCTGGAGGCTTTACCCTTGTCTCCCAACTCTAAACCCTAAACCCTAAACCCTAAACCCTTCCCATTGCTTACAAAGATGAATTAGCGCTGCCGCCTGCCTTATCGCTGAATCCTAAATATCAAACCCTAAGCTCTAAACCCTAAACCCTAAACGCTAATCCCTTAACCCTAAACCCTAAACCCGAAAGCTCGAAATCTGTAGGGAAAAGAAGTTCCTTGAGACGCTGAAGAAGCGAGTTTCTGGCCACTCCAGGCGAGGGTTTAGGGTTTAGGGTTTAGGGTTTTGGTTATGACGTCAAAGGAATCGCCGGCGCTTAAATCGCTCCTTAATTTTCTCTAAAGAAGCACCTGCAGCCAAAAGCAAAAGCTGACAGCCAGCCCGCTGCTGCTGCTGCTGCTGCTGCTGCTGCTGCTGCAGCTGTCGTTTCTGTTGCTGGTGCAGCAGCAAGAGCACCTGCTGCAGCAGCAGCAAGTGCCGCTGCTGCTGCGGCATCCTTAACAAGCAGTTGCACGACTACAGCCCACGTATGGCTGCGCAGTCCTGGACCCTAAACCCTAAACCCCAAACCCTAAACCCCAAACCCTAAACTCTAAGCCCTAAACCCTAAACCCCGAGCGCTAAACCCCAAACCGTAAATCCTAGACCCTAAACCCCAAACACCAAATCCCAAGCCCCACGCCCCAAACCCCAAACCGCAAAACCTCAGGCCCAAAACCCTAAACCCCAAACCCTAAACCCTAAACCCTAAACCCTAAACCCTACCCTGATCGTCCTCGAGCTCGGAGTCCTCTGCCTCCAAAAAGCCCCTCGTGAGTCCCCGCTGGGAATCTGCAACAGCTCTTCGGCTTTTTGCTGCTTCTTGGCGGGCCAGGTAAAGCTGCAGCAGCAGCAGCAGCAGCAGCAGCAAAAGAAGACAGGTGACAAAAAATTAAGAAAGGATTAAAGATATTAAGGAGGTGAAGGAAATTTCAAAGAATTTAAAGAGACTGAAAAAAATAAAGAGATAAAGATATTAAATGAGTTAAAAAAAAGATTTAAAAGGTATTGAAAGGAGACAAAAAGAGACAAAAAAAGAAAAGAGACAAAAGGATATCAACAAGATTAAAAATATAAAAGGAGATTAAAAGAGACAAAAGAGACAAAGAAGGATAAACGGAGACAAAGGAAATGGAAAAGAATAAATAGAAATTAAAAGAAATAAATAAAAAGATAAAAGTAAAAGAAGATAAGAAGATAAAAGAAATTAAAAATAAAATAAAAAACAAAAATAGGCAAAAAGACAAAACGAGACAAAAAGAAAAAGAGACAAAAGAAAAAGAGACAAGGAAATAGTAAAAGAGACAAAAAAGAAAACGAAAAAGAGAAAAATGTAAAGAAGAGAAAAGAGACAAAAAGAGACTCAAAAAAAGACAAAAAGATAAACAAAGTCCTAAATAAAATAAAGGACTAAACAAAGAAATAAAAAGAATAACAGAAAACAAAAAGAGACAAAAAAAAGAAAAGAAAAAAAAGCAAAAAAGACGAAAAACAAAAAAGACAAAAGAGACGAAAAAGACAAAAAACAAAAAAGACAAAAAGGGGGAAAGAAAAACAAAAAGGACACAAAAAATAAAGAGCAGCAAAAGGAAAAGAAAACAAAAACAAAAAAGCGAAAAAACCAAAAAAACAAAAAAAAGAGAGAAAGGGGACATTACTAAGGAGGGAAAGAAGTAGAAGAAACAAAGGAGACAAAGCGCAGCAAAAAGACACAAAAAGAAGCAAAAGAATTTAAAAATAAAATAAAAAATAAGTAAAAATAAAAATAAAAAATAAAAAAGACACAGCAAAAGACCTGCTGCTCCGCTGTCTCCTCCATTTGCACAAGTTCTGTTGCTGTCAAAGCAGTTCGGCTTTTTGCTGCTTCTCGCAAAGAGCTTTTCGACTTCGCCAAAAAAGACCCCGGACCTAAACGCAAACCCTAAACCCTAAACCCTAAACCCTAAACCCTAAACCCTAAGCCGTGGTTTAGGGGTCAACAGCGCCCTCGCCCACGCAGCTGCGGGCTGGTTGGGGGAGGCGCAGTAAGAGGGACAGCAAGTGTGCTGCAGCAACAGCAGCAGCAGCAGCAGCAGCAGCAATAGCAGCAGCAATGGAAATGGAAGCAGCAGCAACAGAGGCAGCAGCAACAGCAAAAGCAACGAGAAAAGCAGCAGCAAACGTAACAGCAACGGCAACTGAAGCAGCAGCAGCAGCAGCGCCAGAAGAAACAGCAACAGCAACAGAACCAACAGTAACAGAAACAGCAACAGAAGCAGCAGCAGCAGCAGCAACAGCAGCAGCAGCAGCAGCAGCGTGAGGCCTCACCAAAGCCCGCTGGCAGCAGCATTTGCAGTCTCTTATCCGAAGCCATTACACTGCAGAGAGGGCCCCGCGCCTGCAGAGCCACAACAGCTAGCCAGCCACAGCTAGCTAGCTAACCCGTAGCTAGCTAGCTAGCTGAGGGGTGGCTAGCTAGCTAACTCGTAGCTAGCTAGCTAGCTGACGGGTGGCTGGCCAGCTAACCCGTAGCTAGCTAGCTAGCTGATGGGTGGCTGGTTAGCTAGCCCCTAGCTAGCTAGCTAGCTGAGGGGCGACTAGCTAGCCAGCTACCTGAGGGCTAGCTGGTTAGCTAGCTAGCTAGCAAGCTAGTTGAGAGGTGGCTAGCTAACTGCGAGCTGGCTAGGCAGCTACGGCGTTGCTGCCTAAACCCTAAACCCTAAACCCTAGAAAGCGGCTCAGCTGCGGACTCCTTTGGACTCAAAGATGTAGGAGACATCATTCTTGATCTGCAAACCACGCACCTCAAACTGCCACAAACCCTAAACCCTAAACCCTAAACCCTCGAATCTGCGTGGGAAGCAGAAACCCCATCGAGCTCCAAAACCCTAAACCCTAGACCCTAAACCCTAAACCCTCGAGACTGACATTGCATTCAAAGCCTTTGTCGTCCACAAAGAGACAATACGAGTCGTCGCTAAACTGCACCAGCCGGCAGTTGCTCTTAGACTGCAGCAGCGCACAGAAAACTCTAAACCCTAAACCCTAAACCCTAAACCCTAAACCCTAATTCCCACGACATGAGCACTAATAAAAACGGCCCTAGACGGGTTCTTCCCCCAAACTCTAAATGCTCCTTCTCAAGCCTACAGTTTTGTCGCACCTGCGCTGCCCAAAACCCTAAACCCTAAGCCCTAAACCCTAAACCCTTACTGCGGGTTTGTCGTCTGCTGCTGCAGCTTCATCGTTGAAGAACCTGCGTGGGGGCGGCAGTAGGAAATCCCAAGTTCGTGAGCCCCCGGACTCCAGCCCCAGACCCTAAACCCTAAACCCTAAACCCTAAACCCTAACCCTTCGATCTGCAGCGAAAAGAGCCTCCCCGTGCCCCCGCGCGTCTGGCTCACCTGATCGCAACCTGCTGCTGCTGCTGCTGCTGCTGCTGCTGCTGCTGCTGGTCTGCTGCGTAAATGAGAGACAAAGCCGGGGGGACTCTCCAAGTCCAAACAGCAGTTTGCTGCTGCTGCGGGGCCCAGGTGTCTCCTAGCTGCAGCAGCAGCGGGGGCAGCCGTTCTGCTGCTTCTTTGGGGGTCTCCTCCGCGCTGCGGGTCTCGGTCTCTTCTGCTGCTGCTGCTGCTGCTGCTGCTCCATCCTCTGCATCCGAGTCTCCTGCTGCAGCAGCAGCAGCAACGGGAGACGCCTCTTCCCCAAATAAGTCTCCGTCGCTCGCTAGAGACCCTTCGCTGCTGCTGGCTTCGTCGGCGGAGCCAAAGAGGTTTTCTGTTGCCTCGCTTCCTGCTGCTGCTGCTGCTGCTGCTGCTGCTGCTGCTGCTGCTGCTGCTTGTGGTGTTTCTGCTGCTGCTGCGGACGCTGCGTCGGATGGCGACTCGGAAGGACTGGCAGCTTCCTCGCCTTCGGCCATGTCTGCTGCTGCTGCTGCTGCTGCAGTGTCTGCTGCTGCTGCAGCTGCTGCGTCCCCTGCTTCTGCTGCTGCTGCGTCGCCTGCTTCTGCTGCTGCTGCTTCGGGGCTTCCTGAGGCTGCTGGGGCCGCTGCAGCAGTCTCCCCTTTCGTCACTTCAGCTGCTTCTGCTGCTGCTGCTTCTTCTGCTGCTGCTGCATCTTGCAACGTCAAATCAGCAGCAGCAGCTGCAGCAGCAGCAGGAGCAGCAGGAGGTTCCGCCTGCAGCGAGCCCTCTTCTGGGACCCTCGATTCCATCGCGTGTCGCTGTCTCTGTCTGGGAATAGCCCAAACCCTAAACCCTAAACTCCAAACCCTAAATCCTAAATAACCCCCCTCTAGCCACTTGTCATGATTTCAAGTCCCGATTGGCAGACCTCAAGCCCCAAGCCCTAGACCCTAGATCCAAACCCTAAACCCTAAACCCTAAACCCTAGTGTGAGAGGAAAAAAGGAGGTCTTGACATTCAGCAAACAACCCAAGGGTTTTGTGTCTTCGACTCAGTTATTCGAGGGTTAGGGTTTACTCTCGCTGCGAGGGTTTAGGATGAAAGGCCCCGGGGGCCCCTGGGGCCCCCGGGGCCCCAGGCGCATGCACTTGAGACTATATAAAGCCTACAGGTATTCAGTTCGCTAAATAAGGGTTTAGGGTTTGCAGCAGCGTGCGTTCAACCGGGCCCGCGACCCGGAGAAGGCGTTGCCGTCCGTGCCTCTGGCTTTCTGCATTATTTTACATCTCTTCGAATCAAAATTAAACTAAAATACTCGAAATATCCAAAATAAATTCAAAATGTTTTATTTTTGTTTATTTCCCTTTTTATTTGCACCCAAAGCTCCCGAAGCCGAGCCAGGAAGAGAAGCTCCCCGCAAGGTCACTGGCTCTAGTGTCTGCGGGCGGCCGCTACACAGTAGCTAGCTGGCTAGCTAGCTGGTTGGCTAGCTGGCTAGGTGGCTAGCTCGGTGACTGGCTAGCTCGCCTTCTCGGTGAACAGCTCGGCAGCTAGCTAGTCAGCTAGCCAGCTAGCTATATAGCTAGCTGGCTGGCTGGCTAGCTAGCTTGGGCTCCCCGGCGGCCAGCTAGCCGACGGCGAGGCGCCGGCTAGCTGGCGGCTAGCTAGCTAGCTGTTGGCTAGCCAGGGGCGGCGGCCAGCGCGGTGCACAGCTGTG